TCAATCCCTCCCTCCCCCACGCCCTTTCCTTTCCCCCTCCCCCCACCACAACAGACTTACCAGCTGGAGGCAGCTGTGTCCAGCGTGGTGAGGAATGCTCCCTGTTTAGTCTATGGCCAAATTTCCGAAGCGGTGCTGAATCTCTTCTGAATCCATTTGGCGGCTTCCTATTTGGACCTTTTAATTGGTCTCCCGATTCGATTCGGATTTGGAGTTTCGGTCACTGAATCGGGCCAAATCTCCTCCGAATCGAATTGGCTACTGAAGCTTCACACGGTCCTAGTGCTTATGTAGTGCTGCAGGAAGAAGATGCTTTTGAGCTCCCTCTGCTGCTTCCTACACATATCACAAGAGAAGCTTCCGGGGGTGGTGAGTGGTACACAATTTGTTGCTGACGTAGGTTGAGCTATACAGCAGGTAAGACCTTTGATGCTCTCACTTTTGGGCAGACCCCACATCCAGGCCTCCATTGACACTTGCAAAAGTTGGGTAACATGCAGAAGCTGACATGTATGAGTAACATGGGGTACATCTACACATGCTATTAGCAGGCAGCAATAAACTCCAGCGCATATCGCACCAGAGTTTATTGCTCTTGAGCATTGTGTTTACATGTGCACCAGGGACCACAGCATGTTGAGCTTGGTCAGAGCAGCCCTGGCTGTCAAGGGGTCTGGTGGGGTCAGCCTATCTTACTGGGACTGCTCTGACCCAACTCTGTGCTGCGGAGGGGCTGGTTTGGGGCATGAGTGTGCAGGAATGAGGAGGGGACTCCTGGGATGGGTACAGCATGGTGTAAAACCATTTTTTAAATCAACACAGTGTTGCCACAAGCAACTTTTCCAATTAAAAAAAAAAAAAAAAAAAAAGTTATTGATAACCAAATTTTATCTTTTCACTATGCTTTGTGTTAAACGCCTAAATTTGAATCCAGCCCTTCTAACTGGGGCCTTGCAGTGGGGCAGGGCCTGGTAGAAAAATTACGTTTTCATTATGTAAAACGTAGATCAGCAAGAACCAAAGTAAAATTGTTTGATTGTTAGTAAAAAGAAGACATTTTTAGCTTGGCAACAGTGCACAAAAAAAGAGAAGTCTCAAGAAATAGTTACCTTGGACTGGAACTGCTGTAGTTTCATAACTTTATCTTGAATCACAGGGTTTTATCATGTGGCACAGCTCGCTGCCCCTGGGTTTTCCCTGCGGTATCCCTTTCACGTGTCTATGGCATTAGTTTTCTTTTCACATGGTTTGGTTTTCTAACTGAGGTTGTTTGGAAATGTATTTACTGCTTGTGTTTGGGGTAGTGACTGGGAGACCCAAGTCACTGTGCTTAACATTGTAAAGCATAGAACAGACAAAAACCCAGAAAATAGTGCTTGCCCAAAGCCCATATTTACTGCTTTAGTTTTTTATGACAATGCACACAAGATGCTCAGCAATTTGCTTTTCAATGCCCACTCCCTCATCCAGTTGTTTTGATCAGTTTATATCTTACTATTCTAAGCCACGATTTAATGAAGCGAGTCCATAGATGTGCTTACCTTGAAGCAGTTAAGTAGTCCCACCCCTGTTTTAGACTATGAGATGTAAGCATATGCTTGAAGTTAAGCAGGTGCTAAAGTCCTTCACTGAATTTGGGCTGAAGGTAAAGAATTGAAATGAGACACTGGATATTGTAGAAAACATGCGAGGAGTTCTTATTTTTTCCATTGATGTTAGAACAAAAATACTGGTTGGTGTATTTCAGTGTTCTCAGTGGATTTTCAGATGTAAAGATGTTGATGATAATTGATGATGCTGAAGAGACTGTCACTGCCCCTAATTTCTTTACAAGCTTGCTTTCTACCAGCTCTTGTTCAAGACAGTCTAGGAAGCTCCTCTTTTGAGAGTTCCCCTCATGTTTAAAAATGTGACCGTGGTCAGTAAATATCAGCAAGTAAGATGACACTGGTTGCTTCTTTTTTCTTACACGTTTGGATCTAATAACCAGGTTCCCTTTTATTGGATTATATTCCTGGTGCTTAGAAGTACTGCTAGTTAAGTACTGTACATAGGAAACATGTTTATGAACAAACATGTATGCCATTTAAAAACCCAGATCAAAAACGTTCTATGACTTGATTTTATAAAGATGTGCAGTAGTTGTAAAAGGGCTTGGTTTATATTTTGGTATCTAAAAAGAGGTTCTGTTACCATTTTAAACTTTGTAATTGATAAGAATGGAATAAAATATACTTCTGACAGATTTCACATTCTGAATGCAGTGGAAGCCTTCAGTCCTTCCTTTAAAAAGGAGATTTGCAACTGTATCTGCTCAGAGAGTCTTCCAAAGAAGCACAGAGAACCACATGCAAATGCAGTATTTCAAGGCAGCAAATATTCAAACTATTTAAAAGGTGTATAACAGAACAATGGGATGAAATCAGGTCAAGGAGCTGAATAGCTGGAAAAAGCTCTTCGTAGTGTGACCTACAAGTCTATAGACAATTCTCCCAGAAAGGACCTTTTTTGCATTTCAGTCTCTCAAAACTGGATTGCTGGACTGGACAGTGCCCTCCTAAATACTCTTCTGGGGGACAATCATGCACTGGTATGCAGATGAATTTAGCCTTTTCCAACTCTAGATTCCACAATTATTTGCATATCACAGGGAATAAAATTAAAATATAAAACACAGGAGGAGAGAGTAGGTTATAGCCCCAAGGGCAGGAGTTTTATCTCACTAAGCTTTGTGCTTTGAAAATTGCCTTGCCTGTGACCTTAAAATGCAAAGAGAACTTGTTCTGTGTTTACAAAACGGCAAGTCTTCCATAGAACCATAGACTGGAAATTGTTACTTACTTGCATGAGATATATCAATTTAATAAGTAAAGTTAACTTTAGTTTTTCTAATCTTGTTGTTTGTCATTTCAGGTTTGATGGGAATTTTAACACTAATGTTTCCAGAACTATTAGCTGCGATAGACTGTCTACGACTGTTAATAGCAGAGCCTTCAATCCTGGACGTGATTTAAACTCTGGTTAGTAATAGAATCATTTTTATTTGCATTTATTGTTTTTTTCCATTGGTTTAGATTAGTGTAGAATGTCGTAGCGACGAATTTGTATTTCTCTCTGAAACTGTCATGCAGTTCTTAATTTGAGATGTTATAATTGAAAGGTGGTACCTCACGTAATCTCCTTACTCTAAGTACTTTTTAATTATAAAAGTGTCATGACAACTTATTCCAGCATGCCATGTATAATTTTGTTGTGTTTTTTGGGGGGGCTATCTCTTTTCTCACCTTTTCCCATATTGCTTTTCCTAGCCCTGTCTGCTCTTGCACCAGCAATGTCAGCCATTGATGGGGCCAAACTGAAATGCCTTTCTCATCGTCCTAGCGGACTTCAGCTAATGCGAAGCTGCTTTTGCAGTGGTCTGCATTAACTCCAAAGTACAAGGATATCCTAAAATATTTCCTCTTTTTGACTTGTCATGGAATTTCTATCTTGAGAGTTGACCTATTTTCTTGACACACTTTAAATATGGAAATACACTTGCAACCTAAGACGTGTGACTTAGCCCTGGAAAATTTAGCCTTTGGTCCATCCATGCAGCGAGGTTTTCTTTTTAGCATCTTTTTCACTCAAAATGATACAGGGATTTTAATTTTTAAAAGGAAGAAAATGTCATTAGTTTGTGAACCTTAACTGCTTCTGATTGCTCAGGATTGTAACTCATAAGAAGACTTCATATTTTGGCTATATGTTGCAGTTCAGCCCAGGTTCTGTTCATTTACTACCAGTGCAGGACCAGTCGAAGTACACAATTGTAATTCTCATGGATCCTGCTAGAGTAATTTTTTTTCATAGTCTCACCATTGAAGTAGTAGGTTCCTTTATCCTCTGCAGCTACTTAACTTTGAACATATTCTGACAAGTATGATGAAGGAAGGCCATGTTTTGGCCTAGAACTTCTGACTGTGTATCCCTTTCAAAGTTTTCCTTTACCACTAGATGTTTCATTTCTATGGTCATAATAAATGCTGTGAAATTTTGGACTGGTTGTAAAATGACGCTTGGTTTTTTTTCCTTCTTATCCTCTCTAAGTGCATCACTACTCCTGTGATTGATAGGGATACAGATGCCCTAACTTTGTCCACTCAAAATTTTCAGCTTGCTAGGAAAATGAAGGCTGCCCAGAAGTATCTACACAGAGAGCAGTTGTTACCATACACAACACAAATACTGGCTCGCAGAGGCTAGGGATTCTAATCTGTACTGCCTCACCAGAATGGGAATGGAAAGCTACTTCCCTCCATGCATGTTAAAAGCTAGCAGTCATAGGCCAAACACTTCATTTTAAGAGATGCTTATTAGTACACATTAAAATATGCAGGGAAAACCATATCTAGTTAAAAGTATCTGAAAAAACCTATTATACCATAGATTATTGAACAGAAAGAATTTTAAGTCACATACTCTTCTCTATTTATGACCATTTCACATTCAGGTAAGAGAAGAAAGGACGAGGGATACAGTGTGAATGGAGAGGTGCTTCAGTAGAGTGAATGCTGAGCTACAGCAGACTGTTTCCACTGGACTGCTCCCAAAGAATTTATTTTGGTGGGAGTTCTTTGTTCTGCTTGAACTAGGGGGCTGTTAAAAGGGACTGGGACAGCATGAAGAAAGCTTGAGGTAAATGTGAAAAAAGGGTATGTTGAGCAATAATCAACATGCAATTCAGGGCAAAACACAGAGACTTCTCCCAGACAGGGTTATTTGGGTAAATGTGATATCTTTTATTAGACCAACGAAATAGTTGGGAAAGTTGTTCTTTGGAAGCTTTTGGCCACAAACACCCTTTTTCAGCATAGGGAAAGGCTGCTGGCGTTATGTGTTCTCCATGATGGAATAGCAGCCAATATGCAAAATGCAGGTCTGCTATTCTGTCGTGGAGAACACATAACACCAGCAGACTCCTTATGCCTGAAGAAGGGTGTTTGTGGCTGAAAGCTTGCAAAGAACAACTTTCCCAACTATTTAGTTGGTCTAATAAAAGATATCACATTTACCCAAAGAATCTTGTCTGAGAAAAGTCTCTTTGTGTTTTGTAGCTTTTGCATTCAGAAGATTTAGCATAGAAATCATCTTTTTCCCCAACTAACCCTTCTGAGAATAGTGTGATTGGAATTGCTTCCAGGGAAAACTGACTATTAAGATGTTTGAAATGCACAATGCCTTTTAGACTAATGGCAGAAACTCAGACTCTGCTGTCTCTGATATATATCTCCTTCTCAATTATTTTTGCTGCTGCTATTTTTGTTCATTTTAATAAATAGGTTGATAGATAGGTCAGCTTGTAGATGTACATATAGTGAAATAAAAGAAATAGCAGCAAAAAAAAAAAGAATTCAAAAGAAGACATGGAGACATCTATAGCTTGCTAGTTCATATACAGCTCAAGCACTTGTGAAATTAGCCCGTCCCAAGCGCCTGTGTGGTGGACTGTGGGAATTGAGTCAGCATCAGTCTAATTCCCAATGGACGAGAGCCTGAATCTCCAAAACTAACATCATTTCTATAGTTTGTTGCTTGCTAACTGGCAACCCTATTGTTAAACTCAGTAGGAAGTCCAAGAATAGATATGAATTGACTTGAATCCCTGGGCTTGATTCCTTTGAACTGAAGCTTGTTAGCTATCTGGTAGGGCATTGTGGAACAGCTTGCCCTTCCATTGGCTGAATTGTCCCTGTTTTAAGGATAGAGGACTTCAACCTGTAGTTCTCTGAATAAACAAATAATCTCTCTCTCCGGATGTCTACCCAACCCATTTCCCCAACTGAGATGCTTTTTGCCTAAGTTACAGTTCCTTCTCACATGACTTCATCTATACAGGGCCACCCTGACCTGCTTCTCCCCTCCCACACGCTGCTCCTGGCTGCTTGTGCTGGGAAAGTACAGGATGAGGAACAGGATAGCTAAGAGTCAGGGAGATGCAGTGGATCAGTGTGATAGCAAGTGATGTCAGAACACCACATTGTCAACTCCTATCTCTTGTAGACCTCTAGGTGTGGCTAAAAGTGTTTGAGGGCACTTTGTTAGAGTCTCGCATTTCTTGATTACTTTCTGTAATCTCCTTTTCCTGGACCCCTCTGTGTCACCTGCAGTGATTTTAGTTCTGTGGCATCCCTTCCTTGAATGATATAAATTTTAAGGCTGAATTCTGGAATAGAAGTGCTGGGGGAGGGTCGGGGGGGGTTAAGCTAAATAGCAACAAAAGACTCTTATTCCCAAATAAAAGCTTCCACAGTAAGAAATATTAATTGCACTTTTAATTGATCCCTGACCTTTCATTTGAATTCATTTTCTAGGGCAGAAAACCCCTAAGATGTATGAGGTTAGTCTAGTGTTCTGTTGCTTCTCTTGCCCTTGACTTCCCTTGCCACTGTTTCTAAATTCTAGGATACTTCTGGGAACTGAAGTCCCCAAGAACTCCCAGAATTCAGGTTACGCATTTTGAGTGCAGTGGCCTGCTACAGTTGGGGCCCCAAATTTGCCATTCAGTTTAAGAAAAAATCCCCTTGGGCATTGTGTTTAGTTTTAGTTTTGTTTTTTAAATAGTAGTTTCCCAAATTCAGTAGCCTGGTTTGAAGAAGCCATGAGCAAAATACAAAGTTATACCCTATTGTTTTGACCTGAACCTTAGATCTTAAAATATTAATCTTGGCCCATGTCAAATGTAGCCTAAGTAAATGAGATTAGAGTGGGAAATTTCTAGGTGTTGGAAGGGAATGGAATCTATACCACAGACTCCTGGCAAGGCTGTGACACAGCTGCTGCTGTAGAGGATCCAAGATATAGACAGCAGATGTAAGTGCTGGACAAGAGAGCTGAGTGAGAAAAGGGAAGCAAATTTCATAAAAAATTCCAAAGATGTGATTCTTGGTTATTTTTTAAAAACATCCCATGAACATTTTTGTTGTTGTTTTAAATTTTTTCACTAAAATTACAACAACAAACCTACACACCTTCATTTTGGTGGTTGGAAAAAAAAAAGAAAGCTGTTGGTGTGAATTTTCTTTCTCTCTACAAATGCTTAATGTAAAATTAATAAAAAGCACTGAAAATATTTTTCTTTCTTTTTTTCTTTTGACCATTGCCCCTGAAAATAATAAAGGGTAAAGCTCGGGTCTTTCAGCTGCACATGATAGGTGTCTACCACAGGAACTACCACCAGTTGTATATATAGCCTTAAGCTGGACTCGTGCACACCTAAGTAGTGATCCAGTGAAACTTCCACCACCTTCGCCTTCCCCAAGCCCTCTAATACCTTTTTGCCTTAGCCCACAGACCAGATGAGTGGTGCGGAGTTGGTCCATGGGCTAGATCCCACATGCAGGGTTGGTCCGTTGGCTGAATCTAACTCCCCCTTAGCCATGGGGTCAGTCCATGGCTAAGATCTTGCTGTGAGCCAGCCAAGCCCTACACACTTGGATCTGGTCATAGAACGTCCTTGTGCACTGGCCCAGCCATGTGCCACCATGATTTAGCACACTGGACCATGTCATCAGGCCCTAGGGGCTCCCCCTGGGTGCTGAAATTTGGAAGCAGGGGAATGGCAACTAATGCTGCCGCTACTTCCCTTTTGCCAAATGCTCGTAGGAAGGCTGGATGATATGCCCAGAGGTTCAACACCACTGCCTGAGCCTGTTCAGAATTACAGTGAACTTTCTTTACAGAATTTGGAGAATGGCCCTCTTTGCGACCATTCACATGTGCCTCCCTTATACTCTACATCAGCATAAGTGTGGAATGCCTTGCCCATTCTCCTTGCTGTGGGGATAAGTTTAACCCGAACTGCTGGGGTACTTGTAGGTTTGCCAGGATGCTGCTACAACATGCTATAATTAGAGTGTGTCAAAGCAGACTCGATTAATTAAGTCTGCTGGAGTGTGCTAATAATTAGCACAATCCAGCCGGCCTCCATGTCTCATCTATCAGCATCCCCGAGTTTTAAAATAGCAGTGAAGGTGCTGTT